GTCATGCTGAAGTGATGACAATTGTTCATTAAGTCATTTTTTATGGGCCCATAAAAATATAGGAGATTTGAAACCGGTGACCCGAATTCATACAGATGGCGAGGACTATAACACACGAAAATTTGGCAATCGTCATGAATTCCTATTTTATGGCCCTAAAATGCCAAAAAACGAGGAACGATCAAGTGACTATTGTTCATTAAGTCATTTTTTCGAGCCCCCAATATTTTAGGAGATTCAGGGTCGATCACCCGAATTCATGCAGATAGCGTGGACTATAGCAAGAATTCCTGTTTTATGGCCCTAAAATGCCAAAACATGAGGAACGGTCATGGCGAAGCGATGACTATTATTTGTTACGTCTTTTTTATTAGCTCGCAAAATTTTAGGAAATTCGGGGCCGGTCGCCCGAATTCATGCAAATGGTGTGGACTATAGCACAGAAAATCTAGGAATCGTCCTAAATTTATGTTGTATAGCCCTAAAATGCCAAAACGTGAGGAACGGTCATGGCGAAATAATGATTATTGTTTGTTAGGTCGTTTTTGATCGGCCCGTAAGATTTTATGAGATTCGGGGTCGGTCTTCCGAATTCATGCAACTGGCGTGGACTATAGCAAAAGAAAATCTTATAATCGTTCTCAATTCCTGTTTTATGGTCCTAAAACGTCAAAACATAAGGAACGATCATGGCTAATCGGTGACATTGTTTATTAGGTCATTTTTGTGGCCCCGTAAAATTTGAGGAAATTCGGCCCGAATTCATGCAAGTGGTGTGGACTATCTTACACGAAAAATGTGGGAATCGTCTTGAATTCGTGTATTATGCAACAACAACAAAAATTAAAAAATGAAATAGTCATGGCGAAACGATGACTATTGTTTATTAGGACATTTTTATAGGCCCGCAAAATTATAGGAGATTCGGGTCTGGTTGTCCAAATTCATGCAGATTGTGTGGACTGTAGCACAAGAAAATTTGGGAATCGTCGTGAATTCCTGTTTTATGGCCCTATAATGCTAAACAACGGGAACGGTCATGGCGAAGCATGACTATTGTTCATTAGATCGTTTTTGATAGGCCCACAAAATTTTAGAAGATTCGGGGCTGGTCACCCGAATTCATGCAGATTGCGTGGACTATAGCACACCAAAATCTGAGAATCGTCCTAAATTCGTGTAAAAATACCAAAAAAATAAGGAACGGTCATGGAAAAGCGTTGACTATTGTTCATTAGATCGTTTTTGATAGGCTCGCAAAATTTTAGAAGTGCCGGGATTGTGTGGACTATAACACACAAAAATCCGGGGATCATCCTGAATTCCTGCTTCATGGCCCAGAAATACCAAAAAACGAGGAACGATCATGGCGAAGCGATGACTTAAGTTATTTTTGTGGGCCCACAAAATTTTAGAAGATTCAGGATCGATCGCCCGAATTCATGCAAGTATACACATATTATTAGGACTTTAGTAAAAATTGTGGCGTATCTTTAGAATAACCTATTCACAAACCCTGGCGAACCACCAAAATTTGCCAAAAAATTGAGCCAGGGGGAGTAACAAAAGTCATAAGAAACTAAAGATCCTAAACTAGAAGGAACAAATTTCTTGTCAAGAACCAACAGGTAATGCAATTTTGTTACCACTCATTTCAGCAAGCTCAATTAATTAAACAATATCTTATATAGCAATACTCCTTAAAACATAATTATCTTTAAAAGCCAAAAGGCTAATCCATAGTAACAAACTCCAACGGCCTTAGGTCAGGACTTTGCGGCCATAGTAACAAAATGTGTTATCAATGCATACTCGAATTCCAATTCTGCATATCCTATGGCAATCTGATGCAAGAACACACTGCTCTCCCATCACAACATCTGAAGATTCAAAAATATATTTAAAAATAATATAAATAAATAATATATATATATATATATAATGTGTGTGTGTAAAATTTGATATTTATTGTATGATTGAGGTGGACCTAGAGTTAGTACGTGCAAAGGGAATTATCAACGAAATTTACCAATCACCAAAATACCCTAATGCAAGTATTAGAGGCTGCTTTCACGGCTCAAACACAAGACCGATAGGTTAGGGAGAAACAATTTTACCGTTATTCTATGTTTTTCCTTAGTGTTTTGTAAGTTGGATACTTTCAAATTACAACTTTATTAAACCTTTTTCGAATATTATGAGTTACTGAGTTAAAAGAGAGAGAGACTAACCATTTGAAAAGACCAATGAGGTGAATAGGAAGAACATAATCATCGAAACCTTATCCATGTTGTATAAAAGAAAAGTGGTCTTTTTCTTTTACTTTTGAGTGCTTCGTGCTGGCAGACCTTACCCCTACCCTGGGGTAGAGAGGCTGTTTCCAATAGAAACTCGGCATCCTTCCCTCCAAGAACTCTCCACCTTGCTCTTAGGGTGACTCGAACTCACAACCTCTTGGTTGGAAGTGTAGGGTGCTTACCATCAGAGCAACCCACCTTGTCCANTTTTACTTTTGAGTGCTTCGTACTGTAACAATATATAATACCTAGTTCATTAATAACTTACTAATTTTGCTGGTGAACAGCCTCTATTTGCAATTATGAACTTTGATTACGATCTTGAATTTTGAATAGCGGAACAAAGAAAATCTTTTGTTTATGGAAGGTTAATGAATGAAAAATGTCTCGTCTATATAATTAACCTACCTTATATAGAGATATATATGTACTGGATCTTCTTATGAATCTCCCATAATGCAGTTCATATTTATCGAGATTTGCTATATTCACAATTTCACATTTATGTATTTTGAGACGAGTGGGTTGCTCTAGTGGCAAGCACCCTCCACTTCCAACCAAGAGGTTGTGAGTTCGAGTCACTCCAAGATCAAGGTGTGGAGTTCTTGGAAGGAGGGAGCCGAGAGTCTATCGGAAACAGCCTCTCTACCCCAGGGTAGGGGTAAGGTCTGCCTACACACTATCCTCCCCAGACCCCACTAATGAGATTATACTGGGTTGTTGTTGTTGTTGTATTTTGATATGGAAAAATACAAGAAGTTTAGTCAAACAGGTGCATAAGTGTAACAACTTGTTTACACCAAATCGATATATGAAAGACACGTGTATTGCATATACTCTTTAAATATATATATTCTTAATTAGTTTGTAATGCGAGCAGAGGCGGATGTAGCCTTTCAGTGCCGAGTTCATCTAAACCCAATACTTTTGGTGCGATACATAAATTAATGTGTACAAGCTTAAAATTACAACAAATAGTATATATGAACTCATATAACTTAAATTTTGGATCCGTCTCTGAATGCTAAGTATTTTCCTTTTTTTGTCCTACTTTTTTGTATATTCATTTTATTCATCTACTTTATAGGATTTCATGCAATTTTGTTAACTTTTTTGAAATATGGATATAATAATAATATTCTAGCTTTCTAGGGAACAATGCAATATTTACGACCTCCTCTTAAAGGAGTTAATTTCTCACTAGAGAAAATCATATGCCTTTGTAAATGTATGTCCCAGTTATTAGCCTTTTTGAGACTTCAAAAGTAAATGCATCGTTTTTATAGGCAACCTCAACAGTTGGAAGAACTTATCCCCCTTGCTCGGTCTCCCTTGCACTAAGCTCAAGTCTTCTAGTAAACCGACGACTAGAGTTTGGCCGTCCTGAGTTATAAACACTACTAACCTCAGTTCAATGCCTAATTTCTTCCATAGCACTCTCTATTAGAGGGCCGACTGTTGTCTTGATCGGGCGTAATGCTCCCCCTTCGTCATAAGAATTTCGAAGTGAAAAAGCCCATCAACTAGTTCAAAAGTCTACTACTAACCTTTAGCATACACACAAATATTTAGTCCTCTTAGCATACTAATAATATTTAGTTGTCTTTTGTTTTAAGATGACATATGACAACTTATTTCTCCCTTTATTTGAAAAACACATTAAGTCATTTCTCATTTGATGTCAAGTTTGGCGATGAATGTCATTCATATTGCTCCATTTAAGCTCTGTCTCAAGCCAGTATTATAAAAACTTAGTTTCTCTAACACTAATTTTCTACAATTTTTTACTAGCGCTAAAAAATTAGGACGTAAAGTAATCATATTAACGTGACTAAAACTTAATCGCAACTAACGGGTGAAATTCAAAAATAGTCAGATTTACAAGTGGTAGTTGAAAAATAGGTACAGTTTCAAAAGTAATCAAAATTTAGCCACTTTTCATATAAAGATAAATCTGAATGAAAACGTTGTTCAAAATCCGGAAAATATTCCAGCATAATATACTGGAGTTCAAATGTTTTACATATGAGCTTCCAGCATAATATACTGGAGTTATAGTATATTATACAGGAACTCCAGTATATTATTTACTCCAGAATCATATACTGGAGTTCCAGTATAATATACTGGTCCAACATAATATGCTGGAAGTTCATACACAGGTGTTCCAATCTCTGGTATATTATGCTGGAACTTTTCGTGTGCTGGAGTTTCAGTATATTATGCTGGAACTTTCCGTATTGCAACAAAATAATGGCTATTTTTCAATGTCTTTACAAACGCTGGTTACTTTTCAATTACCAGTCCGAAGACTGACTAGCCCGTACTATTTTCACGCAACTAACTGGCATTGCCTATATTAACAGCTTGTTTGGATGGTTGTTACATGTCGTTTCATAATAATGCATCGTATTGTATTGTATTGTTTGATGAATACAATATTTGAATAGATTGTATCGTTTGTCATCATTTCATGATGTCACGCACTAACAATATGAAGAATAAACTTGCAACATTATTTAAAAAAATAGAATAAGAAGTAGAATCATTATATAACAAAGTAAGATAAAGAATAAAATATGATTATTTAATAATAAAGAAGGGCAAGATGAGAGAAAAAGCGATGCCAACACACCAAATCAATTGTTACATAAAGTGAACTTTTCGTCGTTATATAACAATAAATTTAACGATACGATACAATAAAATTTAAGTACCTATCAAACAAATATCATATTTAAAGTAAAAATACGATACAATACAATAGGTAACAACCATCCAAACAAAGCTGTAAAAAGTATTTTTGTCCAATGGTTAAAGATTTGGTCATCAACCATATCGTTCTTGACATTCTAACATTTCCTACTAAGTATGCCCTTCTGAACAGGGAAAAAGGAAAGCGACAGCTGAAAGTCAACGTACTACACTCTCAAAACTGTACAATTGAGTACTTCAAGATGTACCACGATTCATCGACTTGGCTGAATGCTCTTCAAGTTAATTCTCCGAATAATCACCAGCATCTCAAAGAAGACCCAGCATCTCACCTTGTAAAGGTAATATTGAGCTCCAGAAAACCTAAATAATCAGTCATTGAGCTTTTCATCCAAGATTTACAAGGGTGTCCGACGACTTTCTGCAAGGAAAATGGCTGGCTGGTTCAAATCTGAGATAAAAGGAAACACAAGATGAGAAACACTATCAAAACTTAGAACGTGTGAATAAATAACTGAGTATGAAAGTTGACGCCCACCGTTAGAATTAAAGAGGAGCACCCAAACTGCTCCGCACTGTCCTTTGGATTCTTTTTCTAGTCAACAAAAGTTTTAGTTGATTTTGCCTCCTTCAAACATCATGGCGGATGGAGTATTGTGGTCCATCACTCCATCTTTTCTGTTTTGTCCGAGTGCATCCAAACGTTCAATACCAATAGATGATACCAAGTCTCGCACATTCAAAGTATTAGTAGGTTATACAAAAACTAATTTAAGAGACAGTGACTAGATAGACGTGTGGTTCTTACAGATATAATGATGTTGTTATTAAATAGCCACATTTTCAGTTCGAGGTTCGGAGCAGTATGAAAATAGTTTGAGACTATTTCTTGTCAATTTTTATAAATGTTAACTTTTTCCCTCTGATTAAAGCAAACCCCACATTTAACAGGGCAAAACTGCCACAACTTTGTGAGTAGCAATGTTAACTTGACCTGAAAGTGCAAAGAATTATGGTTTTATGAAAATCTAACAAAGGCATATAAAAGGGCTCAACTGGTGTAAGCAAAGGGAGGACAGCTAACCTGAACTAAAACTACAGGTTGCTTCAACATCCGCTAACGGAAAAGTCTTGGCACTGATTTTTTTGGAATCTTGCCTTCATGTTTTAGCCTTCTATATGCTTCTCTAACGTGACACGGCCTGATTGGCCCTGTATCTTTTCTCTCTGCCATCACCATTCTAGCTGCAAAATGAATTATAATATGACTGAGTATCAAATTGATTACTTGGGGACTATGTTGCGCGGACTCTCCAAAACAGCTGCCGCACCCGTGTCGGATCCTCCAAAATAAACTATTTTTGGAGGATCCGACACGCACCCATCGATATTTTTGGAGAGTCCGAGCAACATAGCTTGGGAAAAAATTAATACAGCATAGGCCCTTCAACTTTTCTTCACCGAGGACATTTCCACCTTAAAACACTAAAGATTGTCACCAGCAGCCCTTCAGTTAACTAAAGTCTCACATAGTAAAAGCACTATTCAGGAATTAGCAACTTTTCACTGCATAATTACAGTGGAAATTGGTTAACCACAGCTCACTTAGGTTTACAAAAGACATTCCGTCTATCAATCTTTTGACGAAGGGAGAGGAGAAGCAGGGCAAAGAGTGAGATTGAGCTTTTACAGGTAGAAGGTAGCAGAGAACACTAGCAACAAAGGGGTGGCAATGCTTTTGGGTCAACAGGCATGCAGAAAAGTCATTTTATTTATCTTGCCTTAAAGCCCTTCTCATTCGCTGATTGCAGGTGTTTCCAGATCTATCAGGGCTTTTCTAGAAAAAAATAAAACCATATATGTAATGCAAGGAAAAATTAAGAATTTCATTCATAACGATTTCTTAACAATTAATATATCTTTTTGCCAATTATATTTATTATTTTGCACCGCTTTGTTCAAGATAGAACTTATTGGCAATCAGGCGCACGCCTTAGTGCCTTGCCTACACTGAAGCGCAGCCTAAGACCTAAGTGATTTTTTTGAGTTTCAGGGCTTAAGCGCGCCTCGAATGAGCCTTTGACAACAGTGGTTTAATTAGCACAGGACTCTTCCATGCAATGTGTGAATCCCTAAGACATTTTATGCCACTCTTTAGTACTTTATAGGGGTAAGTTTCCAAATAAAT